AGGAATGTCGTTTCTCCAGGAATTGGGGCCCAATGTAAACAGATAACTCAGAGGCGGGCTGTGTGTGTGCCTCTCTTGCCAAATGCGTCCCTGTCTGTACAGACGTTCTGGGCACACACACACTCACACACACACACACACACACACACACACACACACACACACACACACACACACACACACACACACACACACACACACACACACACACACACACACACACACACACACACACACACACACACACACACACTGATTTCGTAACAGTCTGTATTTATTTCATTCACCTGGTGACATAAGAGGCCCACACGGCCTGGAACAGACAATAATACTCAAGTGCAGTGTTTCTAGGAACTATTAGAACTATTATTGTTTCTAGGAACTATTAGAATTGTCAGTGAGTGTCCCATGTGGCTCAGTTGGTAGAGCAACGCCAGGGTTGTGGCATTAATTCCCATGGGGGACCAGTACGAAAATGTATGCATTCACAACTGTAAGTTCTTCTGGAAAAGAGTGTCTGCTAAATTACTAAAATGTCAAATGTAATACCAGAGGAAGGTGACTCTTTTGTGTCCGGGCCTCCCCTGAATTAATATATGACTTCTGAGGATAGCTAGGGGACAGCGGTTAGGGTCAACTAGGAAGTAGCTATGACTAAAGGAGAGAAAGTCTGACTGAGAGACTCTCGTTGTGCTTTTATCATTCAAACTTAATCGATCGGACAAGACTAGAAAGTGCTTTGGAGAATTCGAACAGCCTGAAGTAAGATCTGCATTTCACACTTCTAGAGAGCTGCTGAGGAGCACGTAAGGAGTGAACACTCAACCCGCCCCTGCATGGGTATTTACCGGCCATGAGACATTACTGAGTGGTGGAAAATACCATGCTTTACTACTTTACTGCCATCATGTTGCTGTAATGCTGTTCCAATCCTGCAGGTAGTCAAGAAAGATCACACTCTCGTAATGTGACTGAGACACACATACACACACACACACACACACACACACACACACACACACACACACACACACACACACACACACACACACACACACAGGCAGTGTCTTGAGACACATAACACAGGCTAGGCCGATTTGTTCAGTGTCTTCCATATACGGTCCATATAGATCCACAGGGTATACATTTCTTTTGATGGTGGGTTCCCCTGATGTTAATATGACATAACAAGCTGTGCTGCCTGGGCAAGCAGAGACCTTGAATAACACCCCAGGCCCTGACCATGTACCCTGCAGCCATATAGGGAGATCTAAACCCCACGTAGAAAGAACAGGTGCCTTTGTAACAGAGGTGGTTGGGGGAACCAAGCTCACGTCATGAGTCACCTTGCCTGAAACCTGAGGACTGATTCACACTATAGGGCCAAACTGGGCCGAGCCGAGCTGAACTGGGCTGGCCTGGTTACGCATCCACCATAGTTGCTGGAACCATACTGGAAAGAAAATATCTGAGCCAGCATGGTACAGTTCAGGTCGGCCAATTGTATGAATCGGGTCTCAGACTGGCGTTTGCTCCCCTAGCTAATGCCTAGACTTTGGCTCAGCGGGTTACCACAATCTTGTGGCACACAGATGACTCGGGTTCATACCCAGAGTCACACATTCAGTACCACCAGTATAGGGAAAGGGGGATACCTAGTCAGTTGCACAACTGAATGCATTCAACCGAAATGTGTCTTCCTCATTTAACCCAACCCTCTGAATCAGAGAGCTATGGGGGGGCTGCCTTAATCGACATCATCCACATCATCGGCGCCCATATTCTTATGTGTGGCCAAGGAAGCCTTTTGAATGCACAGTGCAATCTGAGACGTTCCCACAGCTCCCCTATCCTCTCCCTCATCCCACTCTCTCCCTCTCTCTCTGCCTCTCCCTCGCTTTCTCAGAATCATATAGTCTCAACTGCCGGCCACTGGCTGTCATACAGATGGATATTCAGCAACATAACAGTCTGTCTAGATTGAGGTTATAGTAGTAGTCTATCTCAGATAGTGACATACTCAGAGAGAGTATGGTTGGTAAACAACTGTATTAGGTCATTATCTGACTGTCTGTCTGTCTGTCCATGGTATGATAGAGAGAGATGAGAGCGAGAAACAGAGAGAGTGACTGAAGACAGACAGACACGCAGACATACACAGACAGACAGACAGACAGACATACGGATACAGACGGACAGGCAGACAGACAGACAAGCAGGCGGACAGACAGACAGGCCACCCTACCCAGGACCAGTTGGGACTGGCGTTGTTGCAGAATACTTCCAGATGTTCCTCTGGGGTCATGATTCCATGACACGGCTTGATCCCAACGCAGGTGTAGGATCCGAAAGGTGTGTTTCTGTGACAAAAACCTGGTGATCCAACTGAAGTGTGTGTGTGTGTTAGACACTTGGTGATCCGACAGACAAGTGTGTTCAGGCGGTAGAAGTGTGTTCAGACGGTAGAAGTGTGTTCAGGCGGTAGAAGTGTGTTCAGGCGGTAGAAGTGCGTTCAGACGGTAGAATTGTGTTCAGGCGGTAGAAGTGTGTTCAGACGGTAGAAGTGTGTTCAGGCGGTAGAAGTGTGTTCAGGCGGTAGAAGTGTGTTCAGGCGGTAGAAGTGTGTTCAGGCGGTAGAAGTGTGTTCAGACGGTAGAAGTGTGTTCAGGCGATAGAAGTGTGTTCAGGCGGTAGAAGTGTGTTCAGGCGGTAGAAGTGTGTTCAGGCGGTAGAAGTGTGTTCAGACGGTAGAAACCCGGTTGTCTGACGTGTGTTCAGACGTTAAAAGCACGTAGTGATCCCAGCGATTCTCTGTAAGACTGTAATACTGTGTGTCCTCACTGGTCAAACTGTCTATATAATGTTTCTGGAGATATTGTGGGACTAATTTTACCGAGCGTGTTCTGAGAACCACGTTCCAAAACTAAATATTAGAGGACCCACCAGATCTTATCCCAGGTCCTTTAGGCTAGGACAGCACACACACACAAGCAAGTACACACACACACACACACACACACACAGGCCCGTCATGAGTGAGACATCTATTGGGGCAGTAATTCCTGGAACTTGTTTGCTACCCGACTCTCAGCTCTCTCAGTGACATCATCACAGCCACTTGGGAGAGAGACCCGGTGTCCACTAAGTTCTGCCCTCTGCTCTAGACCCCCTCCTCTATCCAACAAGCTCTCACAGTCTCACGCCAGAATTAGATGTTCATCCATGTTTCTCAAATGTCAAATGGTTAGGGTTAAGTTTAGGCATTAACTCTGAAATCTTAAGGTTAGGGATGAACTCCGAATGGTTAAGGTAAGGGTTAAGGTTTGGGATAGGCTTAAAAAATAAAAAAAATAATAATAATGTTATGTTGCTGGATTCGAACATGCAACCTTTTGCACAAGAAGCAGATGTTTAAAACTGTAACCTAATTGAAGGTAATAGCGCTCACTGTTGCCCCTAGTGGCAGATTTCCATGTCATTTCCCAACATCTTCAGACTTGGATGTATGTCTAATACTATCTTGTATCACAGGTGACCTGGCTGCATCTATCCCCTCATCTCTACCCCTAGCTCAAGGGCTGCAAGACGGGTAGGTCAGCTCAACATGTCCCTCCAACCCAGGGTACACAGCTCAGTTGAATGGCCATAGACGTCCCTGTCTGCCCCCTTGGAGCCCCTGTCCACTTCCCCCCTCCTCCCCCCTCCGGCCCTAGCTGGTACAGCACTGCACCATGTTTCATCACTATCTACTGCAGGTGAATACTACTGTATAACTACAGACAAGACTCCTACATAATGACAGATTCTCTTAGTGATTCGATAAGAGGAAAAACTTAGGTGTAAGGTAACACTGTTTGGTGTCAGTAAGGCACATTTCAATTGGACTTGATTTACTGTTCACATACTGTCCTCAATTTGAGCCCAGTGGCGATAGCTTCCACCGACTGTCAGTTTAAATGTATAATGTGTGCTTCCCTCTGCTGGCCACAGATAGTGTTGTCTCCTGTGTGTAGCGCGAAGAATGCGAAGGAATAAAGAGGGAGACACTACCCCCTAGTGGCGGTAAACTAGAGTTGCAGTGAGAGATGTGTGACGCGCAGAGTCAATGTTTAGAGCAGGGTTTTTTGACTCCATTACTTGGACAGCAAATGGGTGCATAGGCTTTTGTTCCAGCCCTGCATCAACTAATCCTGGTCCAGACTGAAGCCTGTGTTTATTTGATTATTTTAAACAGGTGTGTTAGTGCTGGGCTGGAATGAAAGCCTGCACTCCCAGTGGCTCTCCAGGACCTGATGGTAAAAAACATAATTCAGAAGAGCACCAACCTCTACGGATGTACAGTATAACCAACAGCAGATACTGTAAAATAGATTGAGACTGTTTTCAGAATATGCACATGTATACATAGTAAAACATACAGTACACAGGACATTGTGTCTATAGAACATGACACCATCAATTCATGTTTCTCAACATATTGATCATCAGGAAACCACAAACATGGAGCGTCAGAAATTAAAACCACATACACATGTAACACCTCTTAAAAAACATTGGCGTGAAATCACTAAAGAAAACGTCCTCTTTTGCATATATAAGTACTTTTTACATGACACAAAACTGTCAACATACATGCAAAATATTTAATCACTGTATATCACAAAAAACGTTTACAAAGAAACTATACCTCATTAACTACAATAAGAACGGTGGCATACACTGTGGAATGATGACTTTTAACACATCACAACAGAGAGGTGGAGGGTTGATTGGAGTATTGGAGTATTGTAGTAAATACTACAGCAATACTACAGTAAACAGAGGCATACCAGTCACAGACTCATAGCTGTATTCACTAGCAGCTACTGTCTCTATGGGTTATTGGCCTGATCCACCAGAAGAGTACAGACCGTTTTTGGCTTTCTGTTTTGAACCTACAGCAGGGTTCAAGATGAGGGGTACGGGTTGAGATTCATGGGTTTAGGAGTTAGAGGGGTTCATATGTGTTTCCCTGTGAGGAAGAAGAGGGGGCGGTCCTCTTTAGCGTTGGCTGTCTGGAACTCGTCACTCAGCCGGAACCTCCACTCGTCCTCGAGCTCCAGCCTCACCACTGTCTGTCTCGGAGAGCTGCGGTCGAGCACATATCACACACAGATTCGCCCCTGGAGGAGGGACGAGAGAATACCGTTGAAGAAGTGATGACTTCTCTCTGTGTGTGTGTGTGTGTCTGCATGGGTCTGTGTGCATGTACCTTTGAGGAAGTGAAAGCTCTTGAGGAATCGTGGCGTGACAAAGGAATCCCAAAAGCAGAGCAGCAGGCCACTGAACAGCAGCCCTGTAGTACAGATGTTGATGGAGTGAGGTCTGGAACTCACAAAACACACCGTCACCTGGAGAGAGAGAGAGAGAGAGAGAGAGCGAGAGAAAGAGAGAGAGAGAGAGAGAGAGAGAGAGAGAGAGGAAAGGATGGAGGGAAGGAAGGAGGGAGGGAAAGAGAGACGCACCAATGACTGATCTGACATCGAAACAATCACATATGTATTTGTGTGTGTGTGTGCGGGTGTGTGTGTACCTCAGGCCCCAGGTTGAGGTAGAAGTCCACAGACAGTATGGGGTGTGTGTGTACCTCAGGCCCCAGGTTGAGGTAGCAGTCCACAGACAGTATGGGGTGTGTGTGTACCTCAGGCCCCAGGTTGAGGTAGCAGTCCACAGACAGTATGGGGTGTGTGTGTACCTCAGGCCCCAGGTTGAGGTAGCAGTCCACAGACAGTATGGGGTGTGTGTAGTTGCGTGTGCTGAGGGGGAACAGGCGTTGGCTGGTGTGTTGCAGGTATTTCTCCAGCAGTAGCTGTGCAGGCGTGGCCAGGAATGGATGCTTGCTGTCCGGGGCACCGATATACTGAGACGGCTGGACCGAGGTGGGGACGTCAGTCATCTGAAACCACACATTACATCAACATTACAATGGTCCTAGCATGAACGTTACAACAACATTACAACTGAGACATCACATTACAGAGGGATATGAATCGATCCCTGCGGAACACCACAATTGATTTGAAGATGATGTTGTGAGTGTGTGTGTGTCTGGTTGTGTGTGTGTGTGTGGTTTTGTCTGTGTGTGTGTGTATCTGAGAATCATTCCTTGTGTGTGAGTGTGTGTGTGTGTGAGTGTGAACCTGTGTGAGTCCAGGTCCACAGCGTTCCACATGACGCAGGAGTCGTCAGAGAGGATGATGACGGGCCAGACGTCTGCTGGCGGCCCCCCTCCCTCCACCATGCGGCTGCGTTCCAACTCTAGGTTGTTGTAGGACAGCTCCTTGATCAGGAAGTGGGCTGCACCTGGGGGAGGGGGCAGAGGTCAGAGGTCAGAGAGGGAGACATCAGGAAACATTGTCTCTGTGTTTCATAGTGTACGTTAGTTAGTTAGTTAGTTAGTTAGTTAGTTAGGTAATTAGTTAGTTAGTTAGTTAGTTAGTCAGTAAGTTAGTTAGTTAGTTAGGTAATTAGTTAGTTAGTTAGTTAGTTAGTTAGTTAGTTAGGTAATTAGTTAGTTAGTTAGTTAGTTAGTTAGTTAGTTAGTTAGTTAGTTAGTTAGTTAGTTAGTTAGTCAGTAAGTTAGTTAGTTTGTCTGTTGTGTGGCGGGAGAGGGTGAGAGATAGATGAAGGGACGGGGAGTGAGAGTGAGTGAGAGAATGAGTCTGTTAGTGAGAAAGAGAGTGGAGCTGGAGGTGGTAATGGTGTACCGATCCCAGCTCCATTGAAGACGGTGGGCAGCACCAGCATAATGTGGTTGGGCCAGTACTTCTTATAGACAGCCATCTCGTACTCCTTGATGACCAAGACGTGGAGGTGGGCCGCCCCATCCATGGCGTGGTACAGGTTGAACAGTAAATGCTCATGACGACCTGTTGTCGGGGTGAAGATGGGACTCTTGATACAGTCAGGGTTCTGATAATAATAATAATAATAATAATAAGAATAATAATAATAATATGCCATTTAGCAGACGCTTTTATCCAAAGCAACTTACAGTCATGTGTGCATACATTTTTACGTATGGGTGGTCCCGGGGATCGAACCCACAATCCTGGCGTTACAAGCGCCATGCTCTACCAATTGAGGGGGAAGGAGAAACATATACATGGTTGAGTGGGTTCTGCAAAGATTTGATCTTCTCAGGGTTTCTATACTATGTATTATGTTGACTGTATATGTTAGTGGAGGTTTCAGATATGGAAGTATTATAGGAAAGAAAGGGTAAGAGAGGAAAAATAGGCTCTTGGGAGCTCCCTGGTGGTGAGATTACGCAGTGCATCCTCACTTCACTGAGAAAGATTGTGGGTTCGAGGAAGGGATTAGTAGAGTATGGCTATGGTCCATTTCTCTACTCTTCTCCTTGACACGTGTACCTACCTGCTCACTCCCCCTAGCAGATTTCTGGCCGTACGCCTCTGCAGATACACGTCCTCCTGATGTCTGGGGTTTCCTGGGGAGAGAGCAGGGGCTGGGGGTCAGTCGACCAGGAGAACACCAGTCTATAACCATGGAATAACCATGGAGCATCTGAAAACCACAACCACATACTGTACACAGCTACAGAGTTTAGCATTATTTATCTAGTTCGGTTTTTCTACAATCGTAGAACAAGAGATCAGGAGGTCCAAGACAATGATCTAGTAAGACTGCCTATGATAATGTTATGGTCCTAGAGAGACGTCCCGTCCTACCATCAGTGTTGGGGCAGTAGTCAGGGCAGTAGACAGTGCTGATGTCGTCATATTTGGGGTCGTGGATGGTGTAGTCGAACGGCATGCCCCTCAGTGTGTCTGTGACTGGCCAGGAGGCACAGGCTGGCTGGTACTGGACACACTCCAGCTGACCACCTATTCATAACAGCTAATAGCGCCTTAAAACAACCTCATGTAGGGTTATCAGAGTCCAAACCACGTCCTCGTCTTCACAGCCATTTTCTAGAATATTGGACCGTTGGCCTTTATAGTTTTGAATTCTCAGCACGGCTCAGGTGATGTATCTATCTGTCATCACATTCAGTTGAATGGGAGGTGCTCAATGAGCCGCTGGACTATTACGGCTCTGAGGCTGTGGGTCTGAAGAGTGTAGTCGTAACGGAAAGAGGGCAGGGGAGTGTTGTCATGGTAACTCACTGTAGTTGATATCGTCCTCATCATAGATGTCCACCTCCATCAGTCTGATCAGCATACGAGACAGGATGCCCAGAAACTGGAGGTACGCCCCTGTCTTCCCCACCTGAACAGGTTACAGGAGTCAGTATGGCGTGTGTTTGGGTGTGTGTGTGTGTGTAAGGCTATGTACTTGTCTGTGTGTGTGTGTTTCCACTGAGCAGTATTCTGCATGTGTGTGTGTGTCTGTCAAGTGTGTGTGCATGCATGCATGTGTGTGTGTGTGTATACCTGTGGGGGTCCACTGAGCAGCAGTCTGCGGGGATGGAAGTTGTCAGTGCGCCCCTCTGCAGGGCGGTTGCTGCTGTCCATGTGGTGAGGCCGTGGGATGGTCCACTGGCGGTAGTACAGAGACTGTTCTGTACAGGTCATCATCTTACTTAGCAGAGGTCTGACACAGAGGAAAGGAAAGCTTAATTAGAAACGTTGATATACAGCATCATCTTACTCAACAGTGTGTGTGTGTGTGTGTGTGTGTGTGTGTGTGTGTGTGTGTGTGTGTGTGTGTGTGTGTGTGTGTGTGTGTGTGTGTGTGTGTGTGTGACTGTTCCTACCTGAAGGAGCTGGCCCAGGCCACAGACAGGTGTGGCAAGAAAGAGGTGCAGCGAGGCAGCCCACTCCCGTCGCACGCCTTGATGATGTCATAGAGTCCCCGGGGCAGCAGCAGGGAAGGGGGGCGGCTCACCCCCCAGGAGCAGAGGGAAGAGAAGAGGAAGAGGTGAGTTATACTGTTGATATATAAACAGTCACATTTGTTGTTTAGTGTTAGAAAACACCCACATTGAAATGAAATTGTCTTCTTGAATTGCTAGAATTTAGTTGTATTTAATTTAATTGAACGTGGCCAGTGGATGGCGCACCATTGCTCACCGTTCTCTCCCCCCTCCTCCTCCTCGTTGTCGGTTCTGATGAGTTTGTGTGATAGGTCACTGCCCAGGCCGGAGGCGTGGCCGTGGGGTTGTGACCCCTGGGACTCCACCCTCACCAGGTAGGCAGCCAATCCAAGCTCTTGCTCCAACGCTGTGCGCTGCAGGTAGGAAGAGCTTATCACATGCAGGTCACAGTACTTCAACGATCTGGTTGGAGGAGAGAGAAGATACATCAATCAATCAACCAATGTTTGTGTATGTGTGTCTGTGTATGTGTGTGCGTGCGTACCTGTGTAGGGACTCTCCCAGGGAGTCTACATTTACATTTACATTTTAGTCATTTTAGCAGATGCTCTTATCCACCCCAGAGAGGATGAGGATGCAGGGTAGGGAACCCAGTCTGTCTCCTGGATCTTCAGCCACGCCTGGACACACACACACACACACACACACACACACACACACACACACACACACACACACACACACACACACACACACACACACACACACACACACACACACACACACACACACACACACACACACACACACACACACACACACACACACGCACACAGGCTTAAGACAAGTACTAAGACAAAAATAGATCTAATAAGGTTAAAGTATATGTCACCTGCCTTACTTTGAGATTGTTTTACAATGCTGTCAACTAAGGAATCTACTGTAGCTAACTGTCACGTGATGTAACAAGCAGAAGCTAACCAGGATCCTTATCCCTGTTCATGTGATCTAAAAGGCTAAACTGAGCTTAAATCAGTACTCCTACTCTGAGACCCTTGATACACACGGCTCAGTTGTCCTGTGGTTTAACCCTACCTTGATGCGCTCAGTGAAGCTCTGTCCTATGCTAAGGGCTTGGCTGGGGTTTCCCAGGATGATCTCAAAGCGCTCCCCCAGCCCCAGTCTCTGTCTGATCCGCACCAGCCGTTGGTGGGCCCACCCTGCCAGAGCCAATGAGGGGAGCCGTAGCAGCACCATGTGACCGTGGTGGGAGGGGCATCGCTGGGCGGAGCTGAGCAGGCTCTGGACGATCTCCAGCGTCTCGACAGAGGTGTGTTTATGTAGGTTTCGCCCCCCTGAGCCAGGCCGGCCCGACACGGCCATCAGGGCGACACAGTAGTGTTGTTTTAAAACCTGGGTCCTGATCACTGCACTGTGTAGCCTGGGGAACCTGGGGGATCAAGGAATTGAGTTATTAGTTACATGCTTGTGTCATTTCGATAGCCCAAATTAAATCATATGTGTGTGTTATGTGCGTATGTGTGTGTTACCTCTCCTCCAGGGCAGAGGCCATGCTTTGGAAGGAGCTGTCATAGCGGAGGAGAGGCAAGCCGCTGCCTGAACGAGTCGAGTCCAGCAGCTCAGACACACCAAAGTAACGTGTCTTCTCATGGTACAGATCCACGTCCTACATACACACACACACACACACATATACACACATTCACACACACACTCACACACACACACACACACACACACACACACACACACACACACACACACACACACACACACACACACACACACACACACACACACACACACACACACACACACACACACACTCACACACACACACACACACACACACACACACACACACACACACACACACACACACACACACACACACACACACACACACACACACACACACACACACACACACACACACACACAAACACACACACACACACACAAGAGTTTGAGACAACTGTGTATGTGTGTGTGTGACTCTGTGTGTGTGTGTGTGTGTGTGTGTGTGAGAGAGTGTCTAACTTTAGTGAAAGCAGAGGGCCAGTGAATCTCGTTGTAAGGGCTGATGCGTGTGTGTTGTGTCTGCAGGGCGAAGGGGAATGAGGTGACGTGGAGAGTCAAGATGTTGGTGGCGTCTCTGATCTGACGGGAGTTGAGCGGGCTGTCCACCAATCCACCGCCGGAGTCACAACCGCTGGCACCATACGATCCACTAGGAACCATAGGATACAGTTGAAGTCGGAAGTTTGCATACACCTTAGCCAAATACATTTAAACTCAGTTTTTCACAATTCCTGACATTTAATCCTAGTAAAAATTCCCTGTTTTAGGTCAGTTAGGATCACCACTATATTTTAAGAAGGTGAAATGTCAGAATAATAGTAGAGAGAATGATTTATTTCAGCTTTTATTTATTTCATCACATTCCCAGTGGGTCCGAAATGGACATACACTCAGTTAGTATTAGGTAGCATTGCCTTTAACTTTGTTTAACTTGGGCCAAACGTTTTGGGTAGCCTTCCACAAGCTTCCCACAATAAGTTGGGTGAATTTTGGCCCATTCCTCCTGACAGAGCTGGTGTAACTGAGTCAGGTTTGTAGGCCTCCTTGCTCGCACACACTTTTTCAGTTCTGCCCACAAAATCTCTATAGGATTGAGGTCAGAGCTTTGTGATGGCCACTCCAATGCCTTGATTTTGTTGTCCTTAAGCCATTTTGCCACAACTTTGGAAGTATGCTTGGGGTCATTGTCCATTTGGAAGACCCATTTGCGACCAAGCTTTAACTTCCTGACTGATGTCTTGAGATGTTGCTTCAATATATCCACATAATTTTCCTTCCTCATAATGCCATCTATTTTGTGAAGTGCACCAGTCCCTCCTGCAGCAAAGCACCCCCACAGCATGATACTGCAAACTCTGTGCTTCACGGTTGGGATGGTGTTCTTCGGCTTGCAAGCGACCCCCTTTTTCCTCCAAACATAATGATGGTCATTATGGCCAAACAGTTCTATTTTTGATTCATCAGACCAGAGGACATTTCTCCAAAAAGTAAGATCTTTGTCCCCATGTGCAGTTGCAAACCGTAGTCTGGCTTTTTTATGGTGGATTTGGAGTAGTGGCTTCTTCCTTGCTGAGCGGCCTTTCAGGTTATGTCGATATAGGACTCGTTTTACTGTGGATATAGATACTTTTGTACCTGTTTTCTCCAGCATCTTCCCAAGGTCCTTTGCTGTTGTTCTCCGATTGATTTGCACTTTTCGCACCAAAGTACGTTCATCTCTAGGAGACAGAATGCGTCTCCTTCCTGAGCGGTATGACGGCTGCGTGGTCCCATGGTGTTTATACTTGCATACTATTGTTTGTACAGATGAACGTGGTACCTTCAGGCATTTGGAAATTGCTCCCAAGGATGAACCAGACTTGTGGAGGTCTACCATTTTTTTCTGAGGTCTTGGCTGATTTCTTTTGATTTTCCCCTGATGTCAAGCAAAGAGGCACTAAGTTTGAAGGTAATCCTTGAAATACATCCACAGGTACACCTCCAATTGACTCAAATGATGTCAATTAGCCTATCTTTTTGCTTCTAAATCATTTTCTGGAATTTTCCAAGCTGTTTAAAGGCACAGTCAACTTAGTGTATGTAAACTTCTGACCCACTGGAATTGTGATACAGTGAATTATAAGTGAAATAATCTGTCTGTAAACAATTGTTGGAAAAATGTCTTGTGTCATGCACAAAGTAGATGTGCTAACCGACTTGCCAAAACTATAGTTTGTTAACAAGAAATGTATGGAGTGGTTGAAAAACGAGTTTTAATATAATAATAATAATATAATATGCCATTTAGCAGACGCTTTTATCCAAAGCGACTTACAGTCATGCGTGCATACATTTTTGTGTATGGGTGGTCCCGGGGATCGAACCCACTACCTTGGCGTTACAAGTGACTCCAACCTAAGTGTATGTAAACTTCCGACTTCAACTGTACATATGGTCATGTTAGAAACACAAGGACACACACACACACACGCATATACACAAGTATTCACGCAAACACAATCAAATTCACACACCTGCTGATGTCCCAGTGAGCGTGGTCATGAACCAGGATGTAGAGTGTCTTGGGGTTCCAGTTTGTGCACCTAGGCCTCCTGATCCATCTTCACCACGTAGCGCTCTGCCTCTCTCTGAGACAGACACTCTTGCTCCAACCCCAGGTCCTGGAGGACACCTAGAGTACACACACAGACAGGGATTAAACACACACACGTGCACATACAGTGGGGAAAAAAAGTATTTAGTCAGCCACCAACTGTGCAAGTTCTCCCACTTAAAAAGATGAGAGAGGCCTGTAATTTTCATCATAGGTACACGTCAACTATGACAGACAAATTGAGAAAAAAAATCCAGAAAATCACATTGTAGGATTTTTAAGGAATTTATTTGCAAATTATGGTGGAAAATAAGTATTTGGTCACCTACAAACAAGCAAGATTTCTGGCTCTCACAGACCTGTAACTTCTTCTTTAGGAGGCTCCTCTGTCCTCCACTCGTTACCTGTATTAATGGCACCTGTTTGAACTTGTTATCAGTATAAAAGACACCTGTCCACAACCTCAAACAGTCACACTCCAAACTCCACTATGGCCAAGACCAAAGAGCTGTCAAAGGACACCAGAAACAAAATTGTAGATCTGCACCAGTCTGGGAAGACTGAATCTGCAATAGGTAAGCAGCTTGGTTAGAAGAAATCAACTGTGGGAGCAATTATTAGGAAATGGAAGACATACAAGACCACTGATAATCTCCCTCGATCTAGGGCTCCATGCAAGATCTCACCCCGTGGGGTCAAAATGATCACAAGAATGGTGAGCAAAAATCCCAGAACCACACGGGGGGACCTAGTGAATGACCTGCAGAGAGCTGGGACCAAAGTAACAAAGCCTACCATCAGTAACACACTACGCCGCCAGGGACTCAAATCCTGCAGTGCCAGACGTGTCCCCCTGCTTAAGCCAGTACATGTCCAGGCCCGTCTGAAGTTTGCTAGAGTGCATTTGGATGATCCAGAAGAGGATTGGGAGAATGTCATATGGTCAGATGAAACCAAAATATAACTTTTTGGTAAAAACTCAACTCGGCGTGTTTGGAGGACAAAGAATGCTGAGTTGCATCCAAAGAACACCATACCTACTGTGAAGCATGGGGGTGGAAACATCATGCTTTGGGGCTGTTTTTCTGCAAAGGGACCAGGACGACTGATCCGTGTAAAGGAAAGAATGAATGGGGCCATGTATCGTGAGATTTTGAGTGAAAACCTCCTTCCATCAGCAAGGGCATTGAAGATGAAACGTGGCTGGGTCTTTCAGCATGACAATGATCCCAAACACACCACCCGGGCAACGAAGGAGTGGCTTCGTAAGAAGCATTTCAAGGTCCTGGAGTGGCCTAGCCAGTCTCCAGATCTCAACCCCATAGAAAATCTTTGGAGGGAGTTGAAAGTCCGTGTTGCCCAGCGACAGCCCCAAAACATCACTGCTCTAGAGGAGATCTGCATGGAGGAATGGGCCAAAATATCAGCAACAGTGTGTGAAAACCTTGTGAAGACTTACAGAAAATGTTTGACCTGTGTCATTGCCAACAAAGGGTATATAACAAAGTATTGAGAAACTTTTGTTATTGACCAAATACTTATTTTCCACCATAATTTGCAAATAAATTCATAAAAAATCCTACAATGTGATTTTCTGGAAAAAAAATTCTCATTTTGTCTGTCATAGTTGACGTGTACCTATGATGAAAATTACAGGCCTCTCTCATCTTTTTAAGTGGGAGAACTTGCACAATTGGTGGCTGACTAAATACTTTTCCCCCCACTGTATATACACACACACACACACACGACAGGTAGCCTAGTGGTGAAGAGCTCTGGGCCAGTAACCAGAAGGTAACTAGTTCGAATCCCAGAGCTGGCAAGGTGTAAAAATCAGCCGTTCTGCCCTTGAGCAAGACAGTTAACAACAATTGCTCCCCGTGGATGTTGATTAAGGCAGCCCCCTGCACCTCTCTGATTCAGAGGGTTGGGTTAAATGCAGAAGACACATTTTGTTGTATGTATTCAGTTTTGTAACTGACTAGGTATCCCCTTTCCCTTCACACACATGGCAACAATGTGTTTCAGGTGAAAGTTTGAGTAACGAGAGCCAACACATCTCTGAATTTATAAAACACACCAGCAGGGGGCTCTGTGTCTTCAGCCTGCTACACAACAGACATCAGACAGAGGAGAACAAGACCTGAAGACAACTTCCTGGAAGTCACCTCAGGAGGGATGGAGGTGGAGGAAAGAAGGGGGAGGAGGACGAGCGGGAAGAAGAAGAAGAAGAAGAAGAAGAAAGAAGAAGAAGAAGAAGAAGAAGAAGAAGAAGAAGAAGAAGAAGAGTCTGATGAAAGGTGGGATAGAAGTAAAATAAAGAGGAGGGAAGAGAGGAGAGGAGGGAAGAGAGGAGGGAAGAGAGGAGGAGAAAGAGGAGGGAAGAGGAGGGAAGAGAGGAGGGAAGAGAGGAGGGAAGAGAGGAGGAGAAAGAGGAGGGAAGAGGAGAGGAGGGAAGAGAAGAGGGAAGAGAGGAGGGAAGAGAGGAGTGACAGTTACCTGAGTTCCAGAGATGCAGTACAGTCTGTTGGAAGGTGACCTCAGAAGGAGGGACACAGATGAGGAAGTTGACCCTGTCAAAGGAGCCCAGGTCCAGGTTCTGAGTGCTGGAGTCAGCGATGGCACACACATGGGACAGCAGCTTCCTGGCAACCACCAACTGGATGGGCCGTACCTCCCACCACTCCACACGGTATTCTACACACACATGTGGAAACACACATATTAGACACAATGTATATACACAATGCATGTATGCGCACGCATGGACACAAAATCACCCCCACACACACAGATACAAATTTAATTCTACACACACATACAGCATGTAGCTCAGTCAGACAACAAACATTTTCTGATCAGTGTGTATGTCTCACCTGAGCAGGAGTCCTTAGGGCTCTCTGCTCTGTCTGTGTGTCTGTCTGTGGCTGGTTTTTGGGGGCTGCCTGTAGCTCTCTCCGTCCGTCTGTCTCTCTCTCTCTCTCTCCCCCTCTCCCTCTCCCTCTCCCTCTCCCTCTCCCTCTCTCTCTCTCTCTCTCTCTCTCTCTCTCTCTCTCTCTCTCTCTCTCTCTCTCTCTCTCTCTCTCTCTCTCTCTCTCTCTCTCTCTCAATTCAGTTTCAATTTCAATTTAAGGGCTTTATTGGCATGGGAAACGTATGTTAACATTGCCAAAGCAAGTGAAGTAGATAGTAAACAAAAGTGAAATAAACAATAGATATTAACAGTAAACATTACACTCAGAAGTTCCAAAAGAATAAAGACATTTCAAATGTCATATTATGTCTATATACAGTGTTGTAATAATGTGCAAATAGTTAAAGTACAAATGGGAAAATAAATAAACATAAATATGGGTTGTATTTACAATGGTGTTTGTTCTTCACTAGTTGCCCTTTTCTTGTGGCAACAGGTCTTATGGTTTTTCAACCAGTAGATAATTGGGTTTGTTTTCGAATTCTTTGTGGATCTCTGTAATCTGAGGGAAATATGTGTCTCTAATATGGTCATACATTTGGCAGGAGGTTAGGAAGTGCAGCTCAGTTTCCACCTCATTTTGTGGGCAGTGTGCACATAGCTTGTCTTCTCTTGAGAGCCAGGTCTGCCTACGGCGGCCTTTCTCAATAGCAAGGCTATGCTCACTGAGTCTGTACATAGTCAAAGCTTTCCTTAAGTTTAGGTCAGTCACAGTGGTCAGGTATTCTGCCACTGTGTACTCTCTGTTTAGGGCCAAATAGCATTTTAGTTTGCTCAGTTTTTTTGTTAATTCTTTCCAATATGTCAAATAATTCTCTTTTTGTTTTCTCATGATTTGGTTGGGTCTAATTGTGTTGTTGTTGTCCTGGGGCTCTGTGGGGTCTGTTTGTGTTTGTGAACAGAGCCCCAGGACCAGCTTATTTAGGGGACTCTTCTCCAAGTTCATCTCTCTGTAGGTGGCTTTGTTATGGAAGGTTTGGGAATCACTTCCTTTTAAGTGGTTATAGAATTTAACGGCTCTTTTCTGGATTTTGATGATTAGCGGGTATCGGCCTAATTCTGCTCTGCATGCATTATTCGTTTTTTTTTGTTGTACACAGAGGATATTTTTGCAGAATTCTGCATGCAGAGTCTCAATTTGGTCGGTGAGCGGACCCCAGACCTCACAACCATAAAGGGCAATGGGTTCTATAACTGATTGAAGTATTTTTTGCCAGATCCTAATTGGTATGTCAAATTTTATGTTCCTTTTGATGGCATAGAAGGCCCTTCTTGCCTTGTCTCTCAGATCATTCACAGCTTTGTGGAAGTTACCTGTGGCGCTGATGTTTAGGCCGAGGTATGTATAGTTTTTTGTGTGCTCTAGGGCAACGGTGTCTAGATGGAATTTGTATTTGTTGTCCTGGCAACTGGACCTTTTTTGGAACACCATTATTTTTGTCTTACTGAGATTTACTGTCAGGGCCCAGGTCTGACATAATCTGTGCAGAAGATCTAGGTGCTGTAGGCCCTCCTTGGTTGGTGACAGAAGCACCAGATCATCAGCAAACAGTAGACATTTGACTTCAGATTCTAGTAGGGTGAGGCCGAGTGCTGCAGACTGTTCTAGTGCCCTCTCCAATTCGTTGATATACATGTTGAAGAGGGTGGGGCTTAAACTGCATCCCACGGCCCTGTGGAAAGAAATTTGAGTGTTTTTTGCCAATTCTCACCACACACTTGTTGTTTGTGTACATGGATTTTATAACGTCGCATGTTTTTCCCCCAACCCCACATTCCATAAATTTGTATAGCAGACCCTCATGCCAAATTGAGTCAAAAGCTTTTTTGAAATAAACAAAGCATGAGAAGACTTTGCCTTTGTTTTGGTTTGTTTATTTGTCAATTAGGGTGTGCAGGGTGAATACGTGGTCTGTCGTATGGTAATTTGGTGAAAAGCCAATTTCACATTTGCTCAGTACATTGTTTTCACTGAGGAAATGAACTAGTCTGCCGTTAATGATAATGCAGAGGATTTTCCCAAGGTTGCTGTTGACGCATATCCCACGGTAATTATTGGGGTCAAATTTGTCTCCACTTTTGTGGATAGGGGTGATCAGTGCTTGGTTCCAAATATTGGGGAAGATGCCAGAGCTAAGGATGATGTTAAAGAGTTTAAGTATAGCCAATTGGAATTTGTGGTCTGTATATTTTATCATTTTGTTGAGGATACCATCAACACCACAGGCCTTTTTGGGTTGGAGGGTTTGTATTTTGTCCTGTAGTTCATTCAATGTAATTGGAGAATCCAGTGGGTTCTGGTAGTCTTTAATAGTTGATTCTAAGATTTGCATTTGATCATGTATATTTTTTTGCCGTTTGTTCTTTGTTATAGGGCCAAAAAGATTGGAGAAGTGGTGTACCCATACATCTCCGTTTTGGATAGATAGCTCTTCGTGTTGTTGTTTGTTTAGTGTTTTCCAATTTTCCCAGTCTATGGATTCTTCAATTACATTGAGCTGATTTTTGACATGCTGTTCCTTCTTTTTCCATAGTGTATTTCTGTATTGTTTTAGTGATTCCCCGTAGTGAAGGCGTAGGCTCAGGTTTTCTGGGTCTCTCTCTCTCTCTCTCTCTCTCTCTCTCTCTCTCTCTCTCTCTCTCTCTCTCTCTCTCTCTCTCTCACTCACTCACTCACTCACTCACTCACTCACTCACTCACTCACTCACTCACTCACTCACTTACCAGGTCTCAGAGAGTTGCAGAAGGTAGTGAGCTCGTGGGTCATTCCAGAGGACAGCTGTTGACTGATCTCTCTCAGACCTTCACTGGGACTGAACATCCCCTCGGTCAGGGCACGACACTGGTGTTGACCTACAACACACACACACACACACACACACACACACACACAAACAGGTATTACATGCACACACACACGCACGTACACACGCATGCACAAACAAAAGTTCTGTAACTTCAGTCGATGTGAGACAAACACACACACAGCACACTTACAGACACAGGCACCCACAAAACAGTCTCACACACACACACACACACACCCACACACCCACACACCCACACACACACACACACACACACACACACACACACACACACACACACACACACACACACACACACTCACACACACACACACACACACTCAGTTTGACCTCTGAAGATGACTGGCTGAAGTCTGCAGGTGTGCAGCAGCTGATCAGGCACTGTGACAGACGGCCCGAGGGTAGAGGGGGGGTTGGAGGACCCCTGGGACACACTCACTGGGGGGGCATTGTCTGTAGGCGCAGGAACACACTCAGCAAGTAGCAGAAACAAAGCAGAGAGACACTGATACTGTGGTAACTACACCCTGCAGAAGACTGATCCTGTGGTAACTACACCCTGCAGAAGACTGATACAGTGGTAACTACACCCTGCAGAAGACTGATCATGTGGTAACTACACCCTGCAGAAGACTGATACAGTGGGAACTACACCCTGGCAAGAAGACTGATCTGTGGTAACTACACCCTGCAGAAGACTGATACAGTGGTAACTACACCCTGTAGAAGACTGATCCTGTGGTAACTACAACCCTGCAGAAGACTGATACAGTGGTAAATACACCCTGCAGAAGACTGATCCTGTGTAACTACACCCTGCAGAAGACTGATCTGTGGTAACTACACCCTGCAGAAGACTGATACAGTGGTAACTACACCTGCGAAGACTGATCCTGTGGTAACTACAACCCGGCAGAAGACTGATACAGTGGTAACTACACCCTGCAGAAGACTGATCCTGTGGTAACTACACCCTGCAGAGACTGATCCTGTGGTAACTACCACCTGCAGAAGACTGATACAGGGGTAACTACACCCTGCAGAAGACTGATCTGTGGAACTACACCCTGCAGAGACTGATACAGTGGTAACACACCCTGCAGAAGACTGATCTGTGGGTAACTACAACCCTGCAGAAGACTGATACAGTGGTAACTACACCCTGTAGAAGACTGATCCTGTGGTAACTACACCCTGCAGAAGACTGATACAGTGGTAACTACACCCTGCAGAAGACTGATCCTGTGGTAACTACACCCTGCAGAAGACTGATCCTGTGGTAACTACACCCTGCAGAAGACTGATACAGTGGTAACTACACCCTGCAGAAGACTGATCCTGTGGTAACTACACCCTGCAGAAGACTGATACAGTGGTAACTACACCCTGCAGAAGACTGATCCTGTGGTAACTACACCCTGCAGAAGACTGATACAGTGGTAACTACACCCTGCAGAAGACTGATCCTGTGGTAACTACACCCTGCAGAAGACTGATCCTGTGGTAACTACACCCTGTAGAAGACTGATACAGTGGTAACTACACCCTGTAGAAGACTGATACAGTGGTAACTACACCCTGCAGAAGACTGATACAGTGGTAACTACACCCTGTAGAAGAGTGATACAGTGGTAACTACACCCTGCAGAAGACTGATACAGTGGTAACTACACCCTGTAGAAGACTGATACTGTGGTAACTACACCCTGTAGAAGACTGATACAGTGGTATTCTAGGTAGCTTCCGACATCAAATCAAATCAAATCAAATCACATTTTATTGGCCACATGCGCCGGATACAA